AGAAAGAAAGAAAGAAAGAAAGAAAGAAAGAAAGAAAGAAAGAAAGGCAGGCTGGAGTTAAAAGCAAATGTATAAATAAATAAATAAATACATAGCCCAACACACTCATGTAAAAAAATGAGGAAAGAGAACCTTCCCATGTCAACTGAAGAAGTATGGAAATACTCCACACCTCATACTAAGGCCCCATATTAAGACTTAATACCTAACCTAACTGCAGTTTCATTGTCCACTCCCCTCCCCTTAAGTAACCTTTAACCAATCACCAGAATTTCTTGGTCAACATCGGGAGGTAATCCCCAGATAGACTCCTTACCCTTTACCTGGGCGACATTGCCTAAAGCTATGCAATCCTTGCTAATAAATTCCTATTTTTATGCCCTCTCTCTGCCTTTATTAAAACAAAACAAAACAAGAAACCAAAAAACAAAAAAACTTTCCTTTTCCGCGGCTCAGCTGAGCTCCTTTCTACTTGTTAGATGGCTGCTGCCCCATTCATGAACCCTTCAATAAAGCCAATTTCATCTTTCAAATTACTAAGCTGAATTTTTGTTGTTTAACAGTGACTGGTGCAGGCTTAGGCCAAAAATGAGTAGCAGAGGTGGGGGACTTAAACCCAGGTCGTCTATTCCACAGGCCCTGCTCGTTAAGTGCTGTGCAGTATGGTTCCATACATCTTCACTAACGAAGAGGAAGAGCACCACTTCTCTTGGACTCGCGGCTATTGGAGGCGGAAAGCACCACCTATTCCAACACCGTTCTCATAAGCCCGGGAAAGAGCCACTCACAGAGCGGGTCTCCCCTGTGAGATGCGCCCGGCCGAGAAGGCCAGAGCCCCGCGAGCCCCGCTGCCAGAGTTCCCGAACCCGCAGGTGCTTCCGGGTGCTGGGAAGGAGGCGGGAGCAGGGAGGAGCGCTCGCCCGAGCCCCGTCCCGCCTCCACCCCGCGCGCAGCGGAGAGCCGGGTCTCAGGTTCTCGGGGATGTGCCGCCACGATGGGGACGGCAGCAGGCGGTAATGCGTACTTCCAGACGGGCAGTCCGTTCTGGTTCACCGTCATCACCCTCTCCTTTGGGTATTACACGGTAAGAGCAGCGGCAGCGGAGTGCAGCCCCGCGAGGAGAGCGAGCACCCGGCCCCCCAGCGCAGGACCCGGGTCAGCCGGCCGGAGGGGTCGCGCAGGCGCAATCCGGCTCTGCGCGCCCGGAGCCCACTGGGAGGGGACCAGGCCCGGGAAGCAGACGCAGGCGCACTTGTCTTGCCTGCGCCTTTCGGCTCTGCCCACGGTCTCGAGAAACCAGTTACCCAGGCTTTCTCGGTATGGGGGCGGGGGCGGGTACGGCTCCCCATCCCAAGACTCAGTGTGTAGATCTTTCAAGATGGTGGTGACGAAGTCCGAGGCCCGGAGGGCTGCTTCCGCCTACTTCCGTCCGGCCAGATGTTTACCTTCGCTGGTCACCATCCTGGCGCTGGGCTATTTCGCGGTGAGGCGTGGGGCGAGGCGGTGCATCTCTTTTGGCCGCCGGCCCCTCGTAGGGCGAGAGGCGCCCTGGTAGCGAGGTCTTATTTAAATTGGAATATTATGGAGCTGGCAAGTGCTGCCCCTTCCGTTCCTTTTGGTTTTGGAGGGTGCAGTGATATTTATGCTTTATTTAAATCTTAGATGCATAAGACATAATGGGAGAGGTAGTACTGCTCTTGGCTGAGGTATGAATGGTACAATAAGTTTTGGACATCTTGGCACTGAATTCTCAGAAAAACCTAAGCTGGCAGAGATTACAACATAGAGACTAAGGGAAAGTTGATCAGATTACAAAAAGCTAATGTGATTAGCACTTCACAAACTTGATGTACTTATTTTCCAGCTCTGTGAAGTGGATCATTCCCAGTTTTAGATGTAGGAAAAGTGAAAGAAGGAAAAAGGATTCTAAATTAAGTGAGGGGTTTGGCTCCAGCCATAGATTCTGCAGTAAAGAAGCTAGCCAGGGCACAGAAACTTAAAGCTTATTAATAATCTGTATAAAATAATCTTTTTGGTGGAATTCACTAAGAATAGAAGTCATCCCGTCTGGGCACTGAGTCTGATAACCATGTAGCTTCTTCCACATAGATCTCCCACTGGAATAGCTTTTAGAAAACAGAAGTGGAGGGGCGCCTGGGTGGCTCAGTCGTTAAGTGGCTGCCTTCGGCTCAGGTCATGATCCCAGGGCCCTCAAGCCTGCTTCTCCCTCTCCCACTCCCCCTGCTTGTGTTCCCTGTCTCGCTGTGTCTCTGTGTCAAATAAATAAAATCTTAAAAAAGAAAAGAAAAGAAAACAGAAGTGGAGAATGGAAGCCCAGATGACTTAGTTCGGAGATTCTGTGGTCTCTCGTTTTTCTTGTAGAATCTGGATTGTTTCATAGTCTCTCTCAAAAATAAACATTTGCTGATTTAAGTGACTTAATAGGTATTCTGTGCCTCTGGTTCTCTTGCAGTGGGTTGTCTTCTGGCCTCAGAGTATCCCTTATCAGAGCCTCGGGCCGCTGGGCCTCTTCACTCAGTACTTGGTGGACCATCATCATACCCTCCTGCACAATGGGTAAGCAGGGCTCTGGAAATGGGATATGGACCCTGCAGCTCCAGTTCCACTGTAGATCTGGAAGGCCTGCACTTGCCTTTAGATATCTAAGAGTGTCGCTGGTTCACATTAAGGCATTGAGGTTTCTGTGTTAGATTTCATCAGCAGATAACCATCACCTTAAACTAGGCTGACTTTTGTTTTAGGTATTGGCTTGCCTGGCTGATTCACTTGGGAGAGTCCTTGTACGCCATGGTTTTGTGCAAGTAAGTGTGTTTAATAGTGCTTTAGCGTTTTTCTCTTGGTATCTAATATAAGTTGAGAGTAGCCACATTTAAATAATTCATGGATTTGTAGGCCGAGAACATTCTCAGGGTAGAGTTGAATCTCCACACCTAATACTGAGCCTAGCCCCAAAGGAGTACTCGGTAACTATTTAATTAATGGATTCATTTCATTTGTGTTAGTTAGTTAGTTATTTGACTACTTAATTTGGATGATTTTTCTCATTAAAAAAAAAAATTCTTTGTATAGCTCCACCTATAGCAAAAGATTTGGGGGTTGCCTTCTATTTTGAAAAAGAGCCAATTTATTGACATAGGCCGATGATTCTCAATCCTAGTTTCACAACTGAATCACCTGAGGAGCTTTTTGAAATATACATGTCTGGTGTCCAGACCCAGAGACCTGATTCAGTAGGCCTGGCCTCTGAAATGGGAGTCTGTTCTTTTTTTCAAGCTCCACAAATAATTCTGGGATGCATTGCAAGTTAGAAAACCTCTCAGTTCGACCCTACTCAGCAGGTGCCAGTGTAGGTTAATACTGTGTGAGGGACCTAGGAAAGATTCTCTTTTTTTTTTTTTTTTTAAGATTTTATTTATTTATTTGAGAGAGCGAGAAAGAGAAAGAGAGAGAGCACATGAGAGGGGGGAGGGCCAGAGAGAGAAGCAGACTCCCCGCTGAGCAGGGAGCCCGATGCGGGACTCGATCCCGGGACTCCAGGATCATGACCTGAGCCGAAGGCAGTCGCTTAACCAACGGAGCCACCCAGGTGCCCGGAAAGATTCTCTTTTGACATTAGTACTTCATGTAAGCATGTACAGACAATATGGTGTCATGAAGAGGTGGTTACAGTAATGCCAAATTACTTTGCAGTTAACTTCTGGTCAAGGTGAGCTATCACCTCTATTACTGTTGTATTACTTCTAAAAGGGCAAAGCAAGATACCTTATAACAACCATGTTTTACAAACAAACAACAACAAAACTCATAATGAACCTTGCTTTCCATAATTTAAAAAAATTATTATAGAAAATTTCAAACTTTATCTATACCCCTTCCCTCCTCCTTGCCCTACTCCTGGATTCTTTTGAAACAAATCCTAGACATTATATTATCTCATCTATAAATAGTTTATTATGTGCCTCTAAAAGATAAGAATTATTTTTTATAAACATAACTACAATAATTATCACGCATGTAAATATTGACAGTAATTCCTTAATATCACCAAATATGTTAGTCAATGTGCAAATCTCCCCAATTATTTCATTTTTTAAAATATTTGAATTTCTGAATCAGGATCCAAATAAAGTTCAAACATTGTAATTAAAAAAAAAACAACAACCATGTTTTAATAATAAAAGTAATATTTATTGAGCGTACACTATGCCAGACACTTGCTAAGTGCTTTAAAGAGATGATGTTACTCTATCTTCTGGTTTAGGAAACAAGCTGACCTTTTTAGGAGAGGAGCAGAAAGCAGCCCTGTCCTCTCTCAAGCCCTTTCCAGGTCCTCTTACCTGTGGGTTGGGGTCTGCCTCCCACCGTAGCCCCGGATGAAATCCAAAGCACTTCCCTAGGTTTCCCAGTCACTATCTGATACCGTCCAGTCTAGTCCAGTCTGTTTATTAAAAGCATAAACTGGTCCCTAAGTCCCTCATCCAGCTGGGGCTCAGGAGCCTGCTGTGGGGAAGGGAGTATAGTTGGTGGCTTCTCTCTCAGGCCACCTCCTTTTCCTGTTTGCTAGCAACAGCTGCTTATGGCCTGTTGAGGGGACAGCAATCAGGGGAAACAGGGCACAGTCTGCCTTGTGGTCAGGCAGCTGGGCGCTATGGATGTTGCATGCCCAGTGTTCGCTTTTTTTCTCCAGGGGCGCCTGGTGGACTTCTGAGAAGCCAGCCATCATTAGGGATCCCCTTCTGTAGTCCCTTTGATGGTTCCTTCAGGTGCCTCCTCCAGCCTGCCCCTGGCCGGTTCCTCTCAGGAACTCTGACTGGGGGGAGTTTTTCTTTTTTCTTTCTTTCTTTCTTTTTCTTTTTTTTATTTTAAGAGTTTCTTTATTTGACAGAGAGAGCAAGAGAGCACAAGCAGGGGAAGTGGCAGAGGGAGAGGGAGAAGCAGGCTCCCCGCTGAGCAGGGAGCCCGGTGCGGGGCTCGATCCCAGGACCCTGGGATCATGGCCTGAGCTGAAAGCAGACGCTTAACCAACTGAGCCACCGAGGCGCCCCTGGAGGGAATTTTTCTTTTACTGAGATCTCTTCTATCCTTCAGTTAGGGCCTCTGGGACAGGGTCCCTTTTAAGCCCACTGTGCCTGTGGCCTTCCAGCAGATCGGGATGGCTCACAGTAACAGCTTCCTCATCCCTCCAGTGGGATAAATCCACAAGTACATGCAGTTCTCACTGCGGCAGTGTACCTTTGATTTCCCATCAGGTAAGCTGTACCTGAGTCTTTAAACTTGAGAATCAGATATTAATCTTTTCCCCCAAATTCCAGGGGACTTAGGTCGAGCTCTCCAGGTGGTTTTGTTGATGCTGTTCTTTGAACTTGACTTAAAATAGGAAATGCCACAGCACTAGTACCTCTTTGCAAGGTCCCTCAGCCTCACAGTGAAATCTTAGCTTGGAGGTGTGTGGTCTAACCCCTCGAACACCATTATTTGATACCTGTTCTCTTGTGGCATTTGGAGCCTCTAAATAAAACCAAAGGACTCAAATTTAACCTCTTGCTGTCCAGGTCTTTGAAGGCTGGAGGGAGGGGTGCTTGGGTGTCCCAGTCGGTTAAGCGTCTGCCTTCAGCTCAGGTCATGATGCCAGGGTCCTGGGATCGAGTCCCGCATCGGGCTCCCTGCTCAGTGGGGAATCTGCTTCTCCCTCTCCCCGCTGCTCATGCTCTCTCTCACTATCTCTCTCTCTCAAATAAATAAATTAAAAAAAGGGGGGGAAGGGAGAGCAGGTACAGAGAGCTTAGGTTACTATTGTGCTTTTGAAATCATTTCTTTATGGTCTCACATGTTGTAGTATTATCACTTGTCACTCTACATCGGAACAAATACTCCTTTAGAATTATGAATGAATGAATACATTTAAGTGAATGTACATTTGTAGCCTTCCAAACACACTGTCCAGCAATAAAAAGGAATTGGTGAATTCCTTTTAACCAGAGATTAGATTGGACTCTATGTTTGACTTCATGGCCACCAGAGTATATGTACGTATAGATGTAAAGTCTTCTCTGCATTTTTCCGTTGTCACATATGCCTGTTTTTCCATGTCTGTACCTATGACTTTACCTCATTCATTTATTGGTGCGTAGTATTCTGTTATGTGGATGTGCCTTAGTGTATTTCACAAATCCCCCTCTGATACACTTCTAAGTCTCTCACTTTTATTATTTTTTTTTAAAAGATTTTATCTATTTGAGAGAGAGAGAATGAGAGATAGAGAGCACGAGAGGGAGGAGGGGCAGAGGGAGAAGCAGACTCCCTGCCGAGCCGGGAGCCCGACGCGGGACTGGATCCCAGGACTCCAGGATCATGACCTGAGCCGAAGGCAGTCGCTTAACCGACTGAGCCACCCAGGCGCCCTCACTTTTATTATTATAAGTAATACTGCATGAACATGAATTTCTCATACGTCTTGGCCCTTCCGTTGTTGCTGAAAAAGGAAAAGCTTTCAATATTTTGCCTAACGTTTTTTCTAGGTCATGTAGACCTCCTTTATCAGAATAAGGAAGTTCTATCCTATTTCTGAGTTTGCTGAGAACTTGTATTCAGAATGGATGCTGTAATTTTTCAAATGCTTCTGCAGTTATCAAGATGGTCATATGATTTTTCTCCTTTATTCTGTTAGTGTGGAAAATTATATCATTTTTACATACATTGTTTTTAAATTTTGTTTTAAATTAGAAGTCATCCACATGAGACTTCTTCATATACAGACGAGACTAGCAAGGCCATTCACTTCAGTTGGGTCGTTTTCTTTTGAGCTTTGTTTTAAGCAGTTTAGTTTGAATGACTGCAACAAGGTGTTTATTATTACTATGTGCCAGGCCTTTTACTAAATACTTTGTGTATGTTATTTCATAAATCATCTCAAAACTTGCTGAGATAAATACTGATATTCCTGTTCTTTTTTTTAGATTTTTATTTATTTATTTGAGAGAGAGAGAGTACAAGGGGGGGGCGGGGAGGGGGAGAAGCAAACTCCTGGCTGAACAGGGAGCCCGATGAGGGGCTCGATCCCAGGACTCTGGGATCATGACCTGAGCTGAAGGCAGACACTTACCTGACTGAGCCACCCAGGCGCCCTGATATTCCTATTTTTCAGAGGAGGAAACAGATTCTGAGAGAATGAGTGACTTGCTCAGCATCACAGCTAGCTCTTGGCAAGCCAGGATTTACATTTGTTCTACCTTCAAAACACTTCTTCTAAAGCCATCCTGGTGCTGCAGCTTTTTAACCCTGTCTGCTCTTCAAAGCCTCATGAGAAATGGTTTTATAATACCGTGCCCTAGGCAGTAGCCACACTGCATCTGAGGGAAGAGTGTACTGTCCTAAATGCACACACACAAAGATGAAAATAAACCATGAGAATTAAGAAGCTGGAGGAAAATGGCAAAATAAACCTAATGAAAGTAAATAGAGGGAATAGTTTTTTCAGTGGAAGACAGTAACTCTTATGAAACCATAACATTAAAATTCTGGTGGCTAAGTTTTTCTTTTTTTTTTTTAGGTCTAAAGGCATCACAGATGGTCGGGCTCAACTACTCTGGTTCCTACAAACGTATCTCTTTGGGATAGCATCTCTCTCCATCTTGATAGCTTACAGACCAAAACGCCAAAAACAAACTTAAAGAAGATACCCAGAAGCTTTCTTTACACTGTTGACATTCAACTTCACTGTTTTGGGGTGGGGGAGATGCTGGGGGATGCTGAGTTACTTGATCTTTCTATTTTCCAGAAATTTAAGACCCTCTAGTTATTCATTGCTCTTTCGTACGCTCTGGTTGAGCTTGACTAGATGGTAGGAAAGGATTTAAGCTTCCCAGTTCTGCAGACTAACCTGTTTGGCTGAGAGCTTCCAAGCTACCTGCTTGAGGTCCTTGGCCATGTTGGTGCGCCTTGTGTCGTCTGGTTTAAGCTGTGTACTAAAACTGCTTGTTGGTATAACTTTGCTCCCACCTTCTGACTAAGACACCTTACCCTTACCACCGCATCTTAGCTCTCCTTTCCCCCAATTTTTCCACCTTTCTGAACCAAGAAAGAGTGACATTTCCCCAACACATCAATTCCACATGCACTAGGCACCTGGGAAGCAGGATCTTATCCTCTCAAACTTCCATTTCTCACACACCAAGAAAAGGAAGATAAGCAAGTGCCTGGAATGGGCCCGGCCGAGCAGTGACCTAGAGGCACAGAGGACACACAGTACCTAGGGGAGAGGATCGGGAATGCCTCCCCGACAGAGCCCCCAGCCAGAAGCCATCCTTGTGCAGGCGTCTGATGGCCACTGCTAGATGGCTCCTTCTGGTCAGGACCACATCTTAGCTTGATTTTTTTTTTCCAGCACCTGAGTCATTGCCTTGCACACAGGTGTTCTGTCAGTGTTTTCTGAACCACAGACCGAAACTGAATTAACTTGTCATTTGTTCAGTATCATTCCAGTTGTTATCTGAAAACTGCAGAACCCATTCAGTATATTCTCAAAGAAAAGCACAGAACTGCCCTTGACTGGTGGTATCCCCTTTCTGTGGGTCCCCTGGTAGGAAACTTGTGTCTTTTTCACACTTGCCTATTCTTAGTCATTTTCTCCAGACTCTGTAACATCTCCCTCCAGCTCCAGCTTACTTAAGCACAGACGTTCCTGAGCTAGAGATTCTAACTGGAAGCTAGTGACTACCTCTCCCATTCACCTGACTAAACCTTTTTACTAGTGACTGGTCAGGGCAGGAGGGTCACTGACCTTGGCAGAATGACTGTCACCTAGGAGCCATTAGGGTTCCTTTCTTGGAGGACCACCTAGGCAGTCCCTAGTTCTCTAGGGACTAGACCTTATTTTCCTTCTATGATAGAGTAGGGCACGTTCTCTATTTTAAGCAAACATTTATGAGAGACAGCCCCTTTGCCCCCAAAAGAGACCCCAAGTAAAAGTACAACCCTGAAAGATTATGGACTATGAATTGTTTCTGGTGGAGATGACTTTCTACAACTATATCTCAGTTTTTCCTGTTTTCTTTTGTCATGAAGGGGTTGGTTTTTAGTAGAGAAAAAAATTTTTAATCATCGAGTTAAGCATCATGGAAATCCAACACAGATTTTTTAAAAGCATGGTCCTCTGGAAAGAGAAATAGTAATGACAGCAACGATATGGCAGATTACTGAATGAATGAATTAACTTGAATAAATGCTGTGAATTGTCTTCTCTGTTCAAATGCTTTTTTGTATGTCCATTTTGTTATATTGTCACACATTTGATTCCACTTTTTTCCAAGTAGATAGAACTGTTTTGAACAGTTCAAATGTCAAGGCTTTTGGGGCACCTGGGTGGCTCAGTCGTTAAGCGTCTGCCTTCAGCTCAGGTCATGATCTCAGGGTTCTGGGATCGAGCCCTGCATCGGGCTCCCTACTCCACGGGAGGCTTGCTTCTCCCTCTCCCACTCCCCCTGCTTGTGTTCCCTCTCTTGCTGTCTCTCTCTGTCAACTAAATAAATAAATAAAATATTTAAAAAACAAAAACAAGTATCAAGGCTTTTTTCATTGATAATGTAGAATGCCCTAATTGTAGGGCATATTGCCCCTCGTTATGCTTATAGAGCTGCCCAGAGCCCACCTCACTCCATGCACACTGAGTCATGGGTGGACATGAGTGTCTCCTTTCATTGTAGAATTTGTCCTCCTTTTGTTTTCATTTATATTTCATTCAGCATCTGATACAGTGAATGCAGCAAGTGAAAGGAGTATTTTAAATGCCAAAAGTATAAAATCCTGTCATCTTACTTGGAATATTATCATGACTTCCAACAAAAAAGGATCTTAATGAGCAAATGGTGAGGGTCATTTTATAGCCCCATAAACTGCTGCATCCCATCGAGGTGAAGTGACCTCACATCACACAGAGGCCAGACTCCAACGGGATCTTGTGTTTCTCCCGTCCTCCACAGCCCAGGAGCGTAGAAGTTAAGACTGTGAAGCAAAAAAGAACAGAGAAATGGAGACATTGTCTTCGTGTTGAAGCTGTAATGGTGACGTGGGAGAAACATCCTTGTTGAGTTGAGATGAGAAAAAGCCAGAAGGCTCTCTCTCGGAAGCAACCGTGGAAGCCAGACAAACTAAACTGTTTTCTTACCTCCTGCCCCTACCCTGAAGATGTCAGAAGCACATATAGTTTGGAAGAATAAAAAAGGACTCATGGAAAAACCCACAACTAATGACCTCAGCACTTCAGCAGTGACGGGCCAGTGTGCAGTGTTTCCTCGTCAACATCCTGCCTGTTCAGGACCCCATGCAATCCACATCTAAACGTGTTTTTTAAGCCATGGTTTTTTTTTTTTTTTAATCTTTTTTTTTTTTTAAGATTTTATTTATTTATTTGAGAGAGAGAGAGAATGAGAGATAGAGAGCACGAGAGGGAGAAGCAGACTCTCTGCTGAGCAGGGAGCCCGATGCGGGACTCGATCCCGGGACTCCAGGATCATGACCTGAGCCGAAGGCAGTCGCCCAACCAACCGAGCCACCCAGGCGCCCTTAAGCCATGGTTTTAAAACAAGGCTTGGGCTTAAGAGGTCATGTTCCAGATGTAAAGAGGTTCTTGAGCAAAACAACTTGTTTTGAGAGCCCTACGTATTTACATGGAGGATCTGAAAACAAAAAAAAAGTTGGAGAACCTGCCGTTGAGATTCGAGAACACAGTGCAGTCACATTTTTATTTTTGCCTGGGCCCTTCCTGGAGCCTTGTTAATCAAAGCTCTTCAGTTAGCATAAATATCATTTATCCCATTACCTTATTGGCACAGGAAAAAAGATGCTAGTAGGGCGGCTGAGTAATATATTTGTAAAGGTGTGAGACCTCTCGCTGCAAGACTGCTTATCCACATCAAATTGGGAATCAACTGTTCTCTCTTTATCATAGTGTTGGACAGTGAGAGACTATAATTATTTCACATTTCTCTCTGAAGAAGAGATCTATCCTGATTCCACAGTGGATACTTGAAAATCGTATTCAAAATACTGTACATGTAATTTTTTCTTAAATTTATTTGTTAGCAAGAATGCACAAGCAGGGGTAAGCGGCAGAGAGAGAGGGAGAAGCAGGCTCCCCGCTGAGCAGGGAGCCCGATAAGGGATCCCAGGACCCTGGGGTCATGACCTGAGCCGAAGGCAGACGTGTAAGTGACCAAGCCACCCAGCTGTTGTCCCCCATATTTGTAATTTCTATAAACATTTTAAGACGGCTCCTAAACTTTTTTAATAGGGTTGAGTATATCGATTGTCTCTTTTTTGTTTGCAGTGAATCACGAAGGTGGATTAGGGAAGATGCCTTTGGCACCCTGATACTGTTCAGGGAAATGTTTATGACAGTGTCAGGGGTGGGCGAGTCTGCATCATAGGTGTGAATGGAGGTCTCGGTCCTTGGATTCCCCATGAAAAGATTTATGTGGGGCTCCGTGCTCCAATAAAGACAGCAGGAAAGGAGCAATCACCGAGCAGTTTATTAGTGGGAGAGGAGACAGGTTTCTCGGAGTGGTTGTTTTGGAATTGGATATTATTGGGTCTTTCTGGGCTGGGAAGAGCTGTGAGGTACAGCGCGGTGGTCTCTAAAGGAGGCTGCTTCCAAACCTTTGCGAAACTCCTCGCACAGGTTGGGAGGGGAAGTTTTTGACCCTGCAAGCTTGGTCCCAGAATAGTCAGGGCAGCCCTTCTCCATGGAGGGGGCTGTATCTGCAATGCAAATGAATTACAGTAAGTCTAGGGGTTACCCCGGGGCAGAGATGGAAGAGGAGAGCTCATGTTGGGCACGTGTCACTCTTGATGTATCAGGCCCAAGGTCTTGGAAGCCACGGGTCAGGATGATGAGCTCCCAGGCTTACAATGTGTAGCATTTTTTAAATCACCGTCCCTGCCTCCGGCTCTAGTCTCTATCATTCCCCTTCAAGGATTGGGATTCTGCTTCAGGGCGTTTTTCCCACTGCTCAGATCTAGCTTCTAGCTAACAAAAGAACTTTCACTTTTTCTTTGTGCCAAGCTGTGGCACGAGATGTTCCTAGTAAACAGAAATTCGTTCATAAAAATTGCCACTAAAATCGATATCTTGACATTACCACAGATGAGAGTATTGGCATCTATAATATAGAGAAGCATTCCCTAAACCTCAGGCATGTAGGAACCACCCCCACAAGACTAGTCATGTCTACACTACACATAATTCGCTTTAAAAAATCTTCCTAGGCAGGAATAACTACGAAATGCCCCGCTTGGTTTGTTCATTTTACTTTTTCTCTGATACATGCGAGAATAATGCACAATCATTACCTAGATCACCATGTACATCAATGATACAGTCAGCAAACTAGTAACAATTTAAAAGTATTACACTACTCGATGAGATTGAAGTGTGGCATTTAACCTGGCTCTAGCCACAAGATTTTAGGCAAGTTTGTCACGTTTGTGGATCTCAGTTTCATGATTAAAAAAGAGTAAGAATAATTTTACACTGTGCCTGGGATGACAATAGTATGGTAAATTTAAATGAAATAATCTAGATAAAGCAATTGTAAAACTGTAACATACTAAATAACAGTTTTACTGGAAGGTTGCTAATCGCCAGCAATGCGTCCTGTGCTGCTCAAACTTGACCACGCGCATGGATCACGTGCAATCACGTGCAATCTCGCCAAAACGCAGGCAGGTTCTGTGTGTGTGAGCGGCGTGGGCTGGGAGCAGTGGGGTAAGTTCACTGGTCATGACATTAAGTTAAAATAGTTGCCTTCTTAAGGGGAAATATACTGATAAGTTTAGGAAAATAATTGGGATAAATAAACATGAACTGAGGAATTAAGTGCAAGTGCCATATGGACAAAAATAGGGTATATAATTGCTTTTATTTGAAAATTTTTAAGCCTTCAGAAAAGT